CCCCAAAACCCCAAAACCCCAAAACCCCAAAACCCCTCTCTTCTGAGGAATAATTGAACTGATTAATTGGAAATAGAGAGCTTTAGTCCCAGCTGTCATCAAACTCCTTCCCTTTCTTGTTGGATTTTCTTGAGCTGTCTTTCTTAAGATCTTCGTGCTTCTGGACAATACGACCTTTAAGATATTCATTATCTTCAAATGAGAGGTCTGACTCAAACTCTTCCCCCTCAGATGACTCTTCATCAAGAGTATTTCCATCAATAGGACCAAGCTGAATAGCTTCTTGAGCTTCTCTCTTCGGCTCTGCAAATGTGAAGCTTTTAGTAGGATTTTTGTTTTCACTTATGAACATATTGGAATTTTTCTGATTTGGAGGACTCTCTCCCCAGATATTATTATCCTTCTGACTCTTCAAGTTATAGATTCTTTCTGCGGATCGGCCTCCTTCTTCTCCAATTCTTTGGAGAGAAGTGACTCTATTATCACTGAAGTTCTTTTGATTAGAGTTATTATCAGTCTTGTCATTCATAATCTCGTCTCCTTTAAAGGTGAGCTCTGATTGCTCTCTGCTTAACTGCTTCTTTTGACTGCTGAAAATATTTCTGTCTTCAGATCTCTCTTCATAAGAATCGAGGTCTTCAACAATAACTTGTTCTTCATGATGAGGCTTCTTTACTTTCTTGTTAAGAGATTGGAAATTTCCCATTGTATCCTTTTCTCTGGAGTCATCCCTAGATCTTGTTTTGAATGCCAGGACTCTGTCAGGATCGTTGTTGAAGCTGGATCCATGCCCATCCTCAAAAGAATCTCCCAGGTATTTATTAATTTTTGACCCTGAGAGGACACTTTCTCTATCAGGAATCGGTCTTGAATCAGCCTTCATAAAAGTGTCTTGATCTGTTAACCTTTGAATGCTTTCATACCGAGATCCATCACCTTGAGACTCATCCCTTCTTTTATGAAGGTTATTTCCAAGATGCTGAGACATTGAGCTCCGAAGAGGTGAAGAAATATCTTTCCTAATAAGATTGACTCTTGGCTTCTTCACAAGTCTAATTGCCTCCATTTCCTTTTCATTTCTTTCTAATTGGGAGTCTATAATTATGATAAATCCGAATTTACCTATGTTTTCTGCTAATTCAGCTACTTCATTGATTCTTTCATTAAGTGTATTGAAGTCTTGCAGACAAGCCTCTTTGATCACATTCAGGTCGTTATGGTCAAGCTGCATCTTAGAATTTCTGCTGATAATATTATTAATCTCTATCATAGCTTCAGAGAGGTTCTCAATACGTTCATCCAAAAGTTCATACTTTTGCATCAAGATATCAGTTGATTTACCATCTTGGATACGATCTTTATCCAGTTCCTGAATTACCTTGGTCATTTCAGCCATGTCATCTTCATGAATGTCAATTCTTGAATTGGTTTCATTTATCTCCCTAATGATTCTATCAAGTTTACTGCTTTTCTCTTTTTGAGCAATTACGAATTTTTGATCGATCAGCTCGACAAGTTCATCTTGAATTTCCTGAATGTCTCTTCTATGCCTTTGATCAAGCATTTTCATTCTCTTATCTATGTCTCTCGTGTCAAAGACAGGGTCTTTGCTTCCAGCCATCATTTCCATCTCAGAGCGAAGATCAAGGATTACCTGCCTTTGGTCCTGGTTTTCAGTTGCCAGTCTTCTTTCAATGTGCTTTAAGCGTTTTTCTAAGCCTTGCTTATTTTCTTCAATGATGTCGTTGCGCTCATCAAGATTTTGTAGCAACTCATCTTTAATTGCTTTTAAAGAAAGCGTATTGTCAGTATTTCTTTTTGGTTGTTTAATACCATCAATCTTCTCTTCGAGATATGAAATTCTATCCAGAGCTTCAGCTAAGGCAGCTTCCACTGCCTTATTAGGTCGATTTGATAGCTTAGGTCTAGTAAAATCCTTGGCAATAGAAGCTAGATTATGGTTTAAATTAAAAATTACTAATCTGGTCTTGAAGAGCGTTCATCCTCTCGTTCATATCCTCATTAAGGTTAGCAATGTTCTTCATATGCTTTGTCTCAGCCTCCAGAATCCTTCGGCTATTCTGTGTATTAAAAGTATCAATTTCCTTTTGTATTTCCCCAACATTTAATTCTTTCTCTCCTATTTAAAATTTAAAATTTAATTTCCAAAATTACAGGAATTTTTTAAATTTACCTTGATTGGCAACAATCATTCTGAGCTCATCTATCTCAGCTTTAAGGGCGAGAGCATCTCTTTTGGATCTTTGGGCGTCACGCAGCAACTTCTGGTCGATAGTATTGAGATTAGAGATGATTTCTTGATGGAACTTCTCATTCTCCATTTTTCTCCCGTATTTCATCTTAGCTAAAAATTTATGCAAGAGCCATACAGATGTACATCTCTTGGTTTTCATTGAAGTGGGAATTGTTGAAGTTTTCATCTCAACAAGGAATCTGAGGCGCATAGTGTCTAGAAGGAGGGCCATCTTTTGTTGTGATCCCTTTGAGATTACTCTCTGTTCTCTCTACAATATTCTATAGTCGATGCTTTAGCAAGTTCTGTCAATTCCCTGAGGGATATTTTAGGAATTAAGCCAAGGGTTTCCTTACATTTAAGGAATTGATCCAATCTGTGTTATAAATCCTCGAATTTTCTTGGTTCTCTATTCAGTAATCCATCAGCTTGATTTTGATAAATTTGTAATTAAATTCAAAAATTATACTTAAAATTGGGGTTTTGGGGTTTTGGGGTTTTGGGGTTTTGGGGTTTTGGGG